CAAATGTTCTTCATAAATATGGATGGTTGAAGTCCTTCACAAAAAATTTTTCCAGTTAAATCCTTAACATCAGAATCACAAATCCATGACCAAGTGGGAATTATTCCAAAAATGGAAGGTTGACTTAAGGAAAGAAAATTAGTTTAATACCAGTGATATCACAGAGCTAGATTTTTGTCTAGTGCTGCATATTGTTCACTGCCTTAAGTGAAATTCACCTTGAATGTGTTGAAAATAATTTAGGAAAATCTAACAGTTATTCAAGATAAACAATAAACTCTCTGAGGAATAAACTTTCTTAGTTTAATGAACATTATCTATGAAAAATCTGTGGCTGACATCATACGGAGGGGGAAGACTTTGTCTTTAGTATTGAAAAGACAGCAAAGAGAAGATTACTCCAAATATCTCTCTTCAACATTGAACTGGAGGTTCTAGCCACTAAGTAGAATTACTTAATTAAATGCAGTGATTGGAAAAGAAGCAACTACCTTCAGTTGTAAGCAAGTGATGCTGCATACAAAATATCCTAAGTTCCCCAAATTACTAGAACCAATAAATGAATTGAATGAAGTTTCCGCACATAAAACCAGTAGGGCATAGACTGGGTGTGGTGGTGCATGCCTGTAATCCCAGTACTTGGGAGACTGAAAACAGGATGATCACTCCGAGAGTGATCCGTGTAGTGAGACTCTGTAGACCCTGTACTAAATACATACATAAAAATAAAAAATAATAGCATAAAATAAAACTAGTAGAGCAAGGGCGATAGCTCAGCCATCTAAGGGCCTGCCTGGCAAGTGCAAGGACCCAGGTTCAATAGCTGGTACCTTATGCAAGCCATCACACCAGCCACCAAAACTGGATCACTATGAGTTCAAGCTGTGTAGCAAGACCCTGCACCAAACAAATAAATATATAAAATATTTTTAATTATAAAACCAGTAGTACAAAGTCAATCATATTGCTATACATTAGCAAATATAATCTGAAAATTAAATTATTAATTCTATACTCAGTAGCATATAATATGTAGAAATAAATTTAACAAAATAAGTGCAAATATTTTTATACCAAAAAAATGTTGCTGAGAAAAACAGAAAATGAATGACGTTTTGGTCAGTGATAGATTGTATGAACCAATGTGGTACCATAAAATGATAATGGAGCTAAGAATTCCTGCCACCTAGTAATGTCACAGCCATTATAATGTCCTAGCCATGACTCAGTTACCCTTGTGGAGATACTAATGCAAGCAAACCTACTGTGCTGTCGGTTGTATGAAAGTGCAGCGTATGCAACTGAATGGCTCTGAATCAAAATCCATACTTTCAATTAATTATCACTGTTAATATCAGTGCCTGCCAATAGCTAATGCCTGTGTCCTTCTCCTCTAATATACATTAGCTCTCTCTCAGTTTGTTTTCTGAAAATAGCCTATATTTCTCCATACTTTATTTACTAACTAGACTTGCACTTTTGGCTATCATGTCTATGCTTATCTTTCTCTCGATCTTTGGTTTTGCTCTTTAATTCTGGAAACTTGACATTTTGCTCAGCTATTTCTAACTATATTTGCTTTGTCTTTGGGGAAATTCCAGTTCAATTCTTTACATTTTTCATCCTTCCTTTTTTGTTTTAATTTAGTCATAATCTTCACTGTCTTCTAGGAGAATTCCTTGATCTCAGTTTGTGTTGTATATTTCTTATCTAACTGTACCTTTCTCATTTGTATTCTTTATAATGTTTCATTTATCACTTTACACTCAGATCCTTGACTTCGTTCTTTCTTTATACATATTTTCATGTTCCAAATTACAGGTATTTTATTTGTTAAAGTTATATGTTAATTAATTCATTAATGAACTTATTTATTTATTACTGGATTTGAACATAGGGCCTTCTCATTAAGTTACATACTTAGTGATTTTTGCTTTTTGAAACAGGTTCTGACTGAGATGCTTAGTTGCTAGACTTGAATTGTTGAGTTTCCTACATTAGTCTTCCAGAGTTCTGGAACTGTAGGTGTGTGCCACCATGCCCAGCTGCATAATTGGAATTGTGTAATTTTACTCTCCATTTCAATAATTCTTCTCCTGATGATGCATGTCCTTTAGTATATTGCATTTCTTTTCTCTTGTTTTACTCAATGAATTTTGCTTAGTATGTTGGGTTCCTTTATGTTCGTTTACATCTAGAGTGTATAAGCATATTTACTGTGAAATTTCATAATGACTTTAGTTACTTTATCTGAAAAAGTGAATTAATTAATGTTCAAGGTCAAGCATCTGGGGTAGGAACAAGAGCCAGAGGAGAAGAGTCTAGAACTCCTACCGCCCCTCCAGGTTCCTGCCTCTCCAGCAGGTTAAGTTTCACTCATGAGCACTCAATAACTGTCAACATCAGAAAGAGGTGTTTCCTGGTGGTGTGATTCACCCCAGGCTTGGATGGGAAGGAAATGTAGTAGCAAATGCTTGCACCTGCGCTCCTCACCACCCAGCTGGCCGTTTGGCTTGCACTGTCATCTCCCTGTCAACACCCGTGACCTAGTATGTGGCTGTTGATTGTCTGGTGAGGGGAAATGATTGCTCCAAGTTAGTTACATCAGTCCTTAATTTTGTCATGTTTCCATAATTTCAATAAGTTATTTTTGAAAGAAACCAACAGCCCTCTTATTTCCATTAAGCTTCAGCCCTATGTATCCTTCAGCAGAATTAACGGGTTACTGCCACTAATACTCAGCAACTGTAAAACTCTGTGCCTATGATGTTGATCCCTCTGTTCTCTAATCTCATTTCACCCTAAATGTTCATTTTATAGAAAGACATTTTTATTTAAAATATTTAGATTTAGGGTCAGTGAGATAGCTCAGTGACTAAGTGCCTGCTTTGGCAAGCACAGGGACCAGGGTTCGATCCATGGTCCCTCATGCTGTGCCAGCCCTGCCCCCAGGGTGTGCTGATGCCTATAATCCCAGCACTGAAAATGCTGAAGTCAGGAGGATCACTGTGAGTCCGAGCTGCATAGTGAGACCCTGTAAAAAAATATAAATGAAAAAATAAATAAATAAAATATTTGTATTTATATATTTATATTTATTTAAAACATAAATATATTTAAATGTTGTATGCTCATTTAATATTTTATATATTTATATGCAATATATTTTATAAACATGCATTTATCTATTTACATAAATATAAATATTTTAATATATTTAAATGAAATTTTAATATATTTCTATAGAGTTTTTCACATTTTATATAAAATGTAAATGAATGTATTCAAATGTTCTGCATTTATACATTTATATTTAAATATTTATATTTAAAATCTCCAGTCTTGGAACTATTTTATTATGTAATGTAGTTTTTTATTTTATTTTATTTTGTTCTATTTATTTATTTATTTATTTATTTATTTATTTATTTGGTAGAACTGGGGATTGAACTCAGACTCTTGAGCTTACAAGGGAAGCGCTTATTTTACTGAGCCATCTCCCCGGCCCCACAATTTAGTTTTTTATAACACTTCTTATAATGTAAAAGTGTGTATGTTGCCCATTTCTTCCTTATGGTAGGTTAGCTCTTTGAAACAATATTTTATTTCTGCTTATTTGTGTTTTTGCTGGGGCAGACTCATGTCTAATAGTATGTCTCATGTCTCCTAAATATGTAATGAATTTCCTGGAGTAACTGAGTAAATGAATTAATGAAGTGACATCCCTGGTCATCATTTATTTTATTTTCACTTATTCTCAACTGACATTACTAGTAACTTCTTCCAAAACATATGACATGGACTGTGCAGAGGTGCCATGGCTTTTCCTTTTCATTTTAAAATCCTTTTTTCTCTTTTCATTACCTTCTTGGAAAGTCCTTTGATCTGATTTTATGATGTCCAGATTCACTATATATTTGTACATGTCCTACCTTTAATTTTTTTATATGTGTGGCATGCTGTCTTATCATTACAATATCTTACACTGATGACATCAAAAATGTGTTTCACACTGTGATAGTTGAATGAAGGCAAATGCCTCAAATGTCATTCATTTGGCTGTTGATAGCAGTTAAATTCAAGTCAACTCTAGAATGTCAGGCAACGTGTCACAATAGTGGTTACCAAATATCATTTCGTAAATATCACATGACCCTTCCTACAAATCCAGAATGTGGGTACAGTGTGAGTTCTCAATATTCAGATGAGGAAAAGTGATGAGCAGAGGTGAAGTGAGGAGGTGGCAGAGCTGAGAGCTGCACACTTGATTTCAGCTGTCACCTTGTTCAGCTGTCCCTACAATAGGTTCCATTATTAAAGCAGAGATTTGGGGATTTCTCTGGTCATTATTAAAAGAGATTTCACTTTCTTGACTTGGTTGTCAGTAGAAAATATTGAAAATTAAACAACAAGCGAAAGAATAACTTGGCTGTGCTTCACACTTTACTGTACTAATGCCTGTCCATATATTAACATGCTTAAATATTCTTGTAGTCCAGTGGGGTTGGGGAAATTATATCCATTCTGTAAATGAGGACATTTCAGCCTAGAGAGGTTAAGTTACTTGCCCAAGTATTTCAGCTCATGAATGGTAGAGTTGGAATTATGAACCTAGAAATCTGGCTTTTGATTACTATACTAATCTAAAATTTAAAAAAAAAGTCATTGGACTTGGTAGTTTGAAGTTTTTATACTGTTATCTACTGCACTTCACTCCTGCTCATTAGAGAAAGCAACTAGAATTTGATTTTGACAAACAGGATGCTAAACTTCAGAGAAGTGACTCAGTGTGCCTCACCCAGCACATAGTTGAAATCACACTGGGAGCCATTATTTTTCAAAATCGAATTATGTTTCTATTCTTAATTTGTATTTTATATGCATAGTTTTATTAGCTCCCTAATCTAATGTGTGCTTCCTTCTGTGAGTTATATGATTCTGGATTTAAATGTTAGCCTACTCATGCATAATTTGATGTTCTTTGATTGTGTCTCTTGTAGCTGAATTGCAATGACTTCAGGAAAGGAGAAAAAGATGGAGGTTTTAGTTGCACTGATGGTGAAGCTGCTGTTTGTGGCACAGATGGAAAAACATACCGCAACAGATGTGAGCTGTGTGCGGAGAATGGGTGGGTATTCTCCAAAGCGGGCCTTCTTCCTAAAGCATGTTGTTTCTAGGGTTGTAGGACCCACTTTAATCTATCCTTTAAGATAATTTGTTTTGTATGAGTTTGCCACCCATAAACTATTAGTACCACTTTCTTTTAATATTCTCAAAAAAAAGTATACATAATGCCATATGTTTTATAAAGCATTTTTGTATGCAATGTATCTGATGGTATCACTGTAACTATGAAATAAACTATATATATATATATATATATATATATATATATATATATATATATACATATAGCCTATAGACACATTTGTATGCTCACACATATATGGTTTTTTGTACAGGATAGATATTAAATACATAGGTGTACGTTTTAACACTTCTACATTATCTTTTGTCATCTACCCACCTATTGGTACATTTCTAAACAGAACGATTTTACAATCAAATGATTTTTAAGTATTTAGTCATTTAAAATATTAAAGTAGGTAGTTGGAACTTTTAACACTAAAAGTTCTTCTCATCTGTTCGCCTTTGCCACATAAAGCACTGGACTCCCTTATATTTTATCTCTGCGTTTTCCTTCTCCACCCTTGATAGTAGGTTTTGTTATTGATGATCTTCCATCAACAATATGTGTACCTGCTGTGCAGGTTCTAGCTTGTGACCTCAGTCCTGGGTTGTCTGCTTTGTAGTTTTTACAACTGTAAATATGAATGTTTGGGAAAGCTAGCAAGCTCATACTCATTCTTTGAGATTCTGCACATTTTATCTCTTGTATGTTCATTGAAACAAAACAATATTACATCTGTGATCATTTACATGGCTGCATCTTCATAAAACACTCTAAAATTAGGCTCAGCTTTCACTAAGCATGGAAACAGAAAGCAAAAATAGATGAGTAAAACACATATACACTTTTATTAGATATATATTTTATAACCCACTTATGAACACACTGTAAATTTAATTCTTACTGCGTCTTAAGTGAGGAGTCTTATTTTAAATTTTGGCCCCAATGAGAGTTTCTTTCTCCATATTTCTTTTTCTTCTTCCATATTTCTTTAATCTTTTTACTGTACTGTGAGAATCAGACCTCCTTCCTTGTGCTTCTTTTTATAGGTCTGTCCTTTAGGAGATGCCACAATAATACTAGAATTTAATTATAATAGTTATTTTCAGCCGAAATATTTTGAAAATGCCTTTTTCATTATCATATAAACATTTTGCATTGCTTTAACTGTATTTTATTGTTATAGATGCTAAATTATAAATTTTATTTTTAGAGATTAGGAAGTATGTTACATTTCTGGTTCTATTTTCAGATATTCTTTATATTTTTAGGAAACTGAATAAAGATAATTATCAGGAGCTTATGTATTTGTTATAAAAAAGTAAAATGCTATCCAGTGTACCCCAAATGAAGACTAGCATTATAAGATGCTACACAATACAAACATGAGTTTTTTATTTAAAATAACAAGAGAAACAATGAAGTTCCTTGAGAGATGGATGTTGAATGTCTAGTTTTAAGACTTTTGTTCATCTTCTGATGTGGGTCCCACCCTGGACACAGGAAGAAAAATATCCTTTGCAATGAAGTATGTACAGCTCCATTATCAGTCCTCCTTTAGAATCCATTTCTTTCACTTAAACTGAGGAACATAAGCTCTCTTTAGAGAAAGTAAAAAAGAAAAGAATGATATGTAGCATTGTTTTTCAGGAGCAAAATAGAATGACAATACAATGAAAAGAAGTAAGTTTTGAATGGTGGCGAGTACTGCAATACTAACTGCTTCTTTACCAACCTTTGTTTCCAGGAAAACTGGGTCTCAAGTTGGCATAAGAAGTGAAGGAGAGTGTGGGAGCAGTAATTCAGTGGAGGTGAGGAGAAGCAAAGGGAAAGAAATAGCGGGGCTTTCTTCTGAGAGAGGGCAGGTGTGCTCCTCTTCCTTCTTATGTGTGATGTTTGGGAGAAAGAATTTCTTGATTTACTTGAAGTAGAATATTGAATACTGCCAGATAATGTGGAAAAGCAATTGGTAGTTCCTGAGACCTGGTTGTTAATTTTGGTGGTTAGAGCCTTCAACAGTATTTTGGCTTTCTATCTAAAAAGAGAGAGAGAGAGAGAGAGAGAGAGAGAGAGAGAGAGAGAGAGAGAGAGAGAGAGAGGGGAGGCAAGGAGGGAGGGAGGGAAGGACAGAAGAAAGGAGGAAAGTAAGGTGGGAGGCAGGGAAGGAAGGAAGAGAGAGAGAAGAAAGAGAGACAGACAGACAGACAGACAGACAGACAGACAGACAGACAGACAGAAAGAAAGAAAGAAAGAAAAAGAAAAGAAAGACAGAAAGAGCAAGCGAATGAGCAGGGCCAGCAGATAGCTCAGCAGAAGAAGCACCTGCTTAGGCCAGCTCAGGAACCATGGTTCAATTCCGGGCATCACATGCCATGCTGGTCCAGCCCCTGGGTGCACTGAACCAGCCACTAAGACTGGGCATGGTGGCACACACCTGTAATCCCAGCACTGGGGAAGGTGAAAACACAAGGATCATTACAAGTCCAAGTCCGATCTGTGTAGTCTCACTACACTCTGAGCCTTCTATGACAGGGAAGAAAATGTGTTATACATGTCATGTTTGATTTTATCTAGTCAAACAACATTCTTAGTTTTCCAAGTTAGGGGTCCTTGCTTTGTACACTCAGGGCACCAGAGGTTTCCTCCATCAAAGTTTTCAAAAAGAACATACTCTTTTAAACATCACTGTGTCTACCTTACCTAGGACACTGTGAACCATTTGAGGGCAAGGACTCTGCTCTCCTTTAATTCTGGCACCATGGTTACTGTTTCCCAAATGAATGAATAAGTAAACCATTCTATACTCCAGCATATAAATGATACGATACCCCACATGTGCTTCTGCATGACTAGAACTGCTCTACATGGCAGGCGCCTTCAGGATGGCAGACACACTGACTGAGAACGGTGCTGTAAGCACTGCAACCTTGCTGATGACCACCAGGTTTCTTTTCTTGTTCTTTAGGATATATGCAGGGCTTATCGGGCCTATGTGGAAGATGGAAGACTTGGATGCACAAGGGAGAGTGATCCAGTTCTTGGTCCTGATGGGAGGACACACGGCAACAAGTGTGCGATGTGTGCCGAGCTCTTGTAAGCACTGTCACCCCAGGCAGATGGATGAGGATGCGCTTGGTGCCTGGGACACAGAGTAACAGGGCCCTTTCATGAAGCACACAGTCTTCTGTCTGTATAATGTCACACACACTTTGCTCCCAGAGTGCCTTTTTCCTTTTTCCTATATTACCTTATGACGGAGAAGATACAGTGAGTGTGTTAGTTCTTAAATTTCCGACCGTTCTTTATTTTAAACTATTATCCTTTGAAAACCTCCAGTGCTTGATAAGACATAGTATTTAAGATTTATACACTTTTACATGGTTAATCTAAGTCGGTCTTTTGATGTCATCACTTCCACCACGCATAAGTAGAGACTCTACATAGCAATAGAAGCACTGTGTGTCTGAATTTACTCAGTGTGAAAGGCAGGTGTCAGGAAAAGGCAAAGCTATTGAGACAATCTTTCAGTACTGGGCACTGATCTTGGCACTAGAGTCTTTCACATTCTGGTTGCTAAACAAGGTAAAGATCTAGTCCCTAAGGCAGCACACCGTGAAGGGCTGTATTTAAATCAATGGATCTTTAAAATCAAGACAGACAAAGATTTAAGAGATTAATAAACTTTATACCTGCCTTTCAAAATTGCAGGTAGAGTTCAGGACATGTCTCGTCAGGTTCAGGAAACTGGTTATTACTGATTTCTAAACAGGAAATTAGTTGGATTTACACTTTCCTATCTAGGAGGGATATGCTTTTGGTGCTCAAACCCGGCCTATCCTGTGGATTTCTGTGTTCTTCTGCGCACAAGCTAAAAAAGAATTTGACTTTCGTAAACTCTGCTTTCTTTACTCTGTAATGCCTGCTGCTGAGGTGAGACTATAACTAGATAGCAGATGTGAAAGGGCTTAGAAGCTCAGTCCCAATTTAGCTTTCACCAACAACAATACCTGTACTTAAAGGTGAGTGGCTTCAAAAAGCTGAACATCAGGGTGTGGCTAGCAATACCTCAGATGTCCAGTTTGGTTTCACCCTTGTCGCAGTGTTGTTTTAAGACTCTTGGTTCTGCCTCTTCAAGTGGATTTCCTGGCAGTTTTCTGTTTGTCAGTCAAGTGGCACACCCATCTAGCGCTGCAGAACAAAGCTTTTCATTGACTGTCAGTGAGTCAGTTTCACACCCCTCCTTATCTATGGCAATTTCCCTGGCTCAGGTAGTCAAGACTGGGAAGTGTTTGTCTCCTGGGAGAATCAATCGGTCTCAAAAAGCGATGGCAGAGAGCATCAAAGTATTAGCAGGGCCTGGGACACTGTAAGTATGACTGGCCCATCATCTGACCAGCTGCTCACTTTTCTTTGTAGTTTAAAAGAAGCCGAAGAAAATGCCAAGCGAGAAGGTGAAAAGAGAATTCGACGAAATGTTGAAAAGGTAAATGGCTCACCAATGAAATTTCATTCTTGTGCCCATAAACATTGACAAAATAACACTTCAACCTTGAAGGGTGCAGTAATGTCTTGTCTTTTATTACCGCATGCACACGTTTAAATATAAAAATTCCTCAAGCTGACTATTCTTCTTGAATGTTATCAGTTAAGTGCAGACCCACATTTCCCATTTGACTCAAGATGTACAATTTGTACTTTTACTCTTCACCTTCCCCCAAAAGAGGACTTAAGACAGAAAGTTCACACATACTAACCTCGGCTAATTTTCTTCAACCTTCTATCTAGCATAATGTAAATCATTTTTCTTACATAAATCTATTTTCATTGCAACACAATAAAAATTTTAAAAAATAACTTTAAAATAAATGCCAGGTTTAAGTTTCATTGACACAAGTTGAAGTTACTCACTTTTCCAATTTAGCTATTATCTTCATTGAGGCCTCCAGTTATAAAGATCCTGCTTCTGATTAAATGTAAAGATCAAATATTGAAATAGTGCCTTAAAATTACTCTTAAGGCAATGCTTTTCCCCAAAGTATTTGATAATTAGTTTTTTTATGTCTAGTATGAAAAGTTATTCCTTTTGTTAACTAAATAAGCACTCTAGGTAGTTCTGCTTGGGACCTGAACCCTATCGTTAATGAGAGGGTTAGCAATTACTTTGCTAGCTGGCTGGCCTTCTGTTAGAAAGTCAGAACATACGCATTCAGCCTGCATTCTGTCACGCTCTGGGTGTGTGAGAGAAGCAAATTATCTTGTCTGTGGGCCTCAATTTTCTTGTCAGTAAAATAATGAGGTTGGATAAGTGACCTCGATTTTCCCTTCCTGCTGTATTGATTCTGTATTCTTCACCCTGTTGTACTATACAGATGTACTACACTTGAGGATTGCAGGGCTTATGATCTCTTATAGGAATAAAGAGGCCCAACTTTTTGTAATAAAGAGCTGGCTCTCTCCTTCCCAATGCGATTGAACAATGCAAAGTTCACCATCCTAAATTGATTATTCTCAGTTTGAATTTAAAAAAAAGATGAAGCATTTAGAACTGTCTATGTTTTCCTCAGCACTTAGGAAGGATTTAAAGAAATTCACTGTCATGCTTAGTCAATTTGAGTCTTATACTCTAGGTCATGCTGTGATACTTGGAATCTGTTCCTCCATAAACATGGAGCATTATTCTCTTACTTTCCACGAGGTCTGACCATCCTTGCCTTTTATGGCTGGTATCATTAGGCCTAGTTGTGCTGGGCAGGACTGCCTTCTGGTGACGGCTCAATACGCACTCCATAATTAGGCTGTCAGTGGGTTGCTCACAAATTGTTTCTTCAGAATATCCAGGGATGAATCACAACTTACAAACTGAAATTATCATTGTTCTTCCTATGGGAATGATTGAGCATTCATTTTATTATCATTATACTATGATCCAATGACTGTGTTCTGCCTCTGTCTTCCTGGGATTTTGCAACCAGGAAGTTTGAAGCACCCTCATTTCTTCTCCACAAATAACTATGTCCAGATTTGTACTCAATTACAATTCTCACTGAAAACATCCTAAGGAAAACTTCACTATAAAAAAATAGTAGAAAATACTTAATCTGGAAAAGGCCCTAAAATGGATCTGTTTCAAAACTTTTGCTGCATGAGTGTACAGGCTGAGGTCCCGAAGGCGACGGGACCTGGCTGAGCTAGAGACCCGCAGTCACAACTGCTTAGGTTTCCCAAGTGACCCCCTGCCACCAGCTAATATCCATGTTTACTTGGTGGAAATGCAACGCTGAGGGCTACACAGTTGAAAAGAAGGGAATACAGCAAAAATTTTAGAATTCGTATTATAAGAAAATATGTCATCACAATACGTTTATTGACACAGAGGTCCTTAGGCCTAGAATATTTTGGGATATGTCTTTTGCTAAGTTTGACCCTCACCAAGTCCTAGAAATTTCTAAACAGTGAAATATAAGAGCGCTTACCAAAGCAACAAGAAATCTGGGAGCCAACTTTTACTTTTTAAAGTCTCAACCTTTTTAGGTTTTCTTTTTTTTTTTTAAACTTATTTGGTTGTTAAAGGGTCTTACTACACAACTCAGACTCATGGGGATCCTCCTGTTTTCAGCCTCCCCAGCACTGGGATTACAGGCATATGCCATATGTCACTCTACCTGGACTCTGTGGTTGGCTCAGCCTGCCCTGGGGCTGACGCAGCATGTGCTGCCAGGGATTGGACTGCAGTCCCTGCACTTGCCTACACTTGCCTAAGCAACCTCTTTAGTCTGATGAGTTATCTCTTTTTTTTTTTTTTTTAATTTGGGAAGCCATTTATTACTGAGCTCAGGACCCCTGGTCAGCTCTCAAGCAGGAAAGGACTGCAAGGTGGCTAGCCCAGAAAGCAGGGGGAGGGTTTAAAACCTGGAACCACATTCAGTTTGGTAAACAAATACATTGTCTGACACAAAATAATGCTTTTAGGGTCATTGTGACCACTATTCAAACTAAATTTATTGGGGCTTTGTTTTAGTTTCTGGTTATCTTGCACCTGAGTACCTGCATGCAGTCTTGCATAGCCCAAGGTTGCAAGAAGTTAAAGCCCATTTAGTTTCCTTTTGAAGTCATCTCTGTAAGCTAACTTTGTTTACAGGAATTAGTGAGGAAGGGATTTTATCTTGCAAACAGCAAGAAACAGACATGAGTTATTAAACAGCTTAGAACAGTGAGTGAGTATACATTTACAACAGAACTGCTGAGCTATCCTACTGGCCTCCTTTTTAGGTTTTCTAAGTACATCTTAGGTTTTTTTTTTTGTTGTTGTTGTTGTTGTTGGGTTTTTTTTTTGTTTGTTTTGTTTTGTTTTTTTGCAGTAGCAGGGATTGATCTCAGGAACTTGTGCTTCCCAGCAAGCTCTTATTCTACTGAGCTATCTCCCCAGGCCTAGGTATTATCTGTCTCCTATTAATTGCCTATTTGTTTCTATTTTTCTTATTATTATTTTGTCATGACTGCTGCTTTTTGTTGAGTCTGTGTTAGAACCTCCTAAAAGCTTTTTATTTCCTCTATAGATTGGGAAATTAATAAGTGATGTCTATTTTTAAGAGCTAGTATTTAATGATATTATTTCCAAGGTCTTTTTATTTAATAAATATACAACATAGCAGATACGAGTGCTTAATAATTTCACAAAATAATTACTATTTCTCACTAATTCTCATTTTTTGTGTTTGCCAATACTTCCAAATTTGTCAGTCTAAAGATTATAGATCTAGAGATTATAAATCTATCTGATAGTTTCTCAAAGAAAGAGCAAAGCAATAATAAATACAGCTACTTATCTTTGTTAAAGGCTTTTTGCAAGGAATATGAAAGACAAGTGAGAAATGGAAGACTCTTTTGCACACGAGAGAGTGATCCGATCCGGGGCCCTGATGGCAAAATGCACGGGAACAAATGCTCCCTGTGCGCTGAGCTCTTGTGAGTACAGATGGGAATTCTTTAGCATGACTGAAAAGGGGAAGAGGAGATTGATTCAAATGATGATAAGGATAATGGTGAATGAAATTTTTGTCAATGAGAATCATTTGAGCAGTTTTACATCTTCTACAGTCAGTATTACTACCCAGTGGAGAGAGACACTAGGGGTATATGTCTATTTCTCAGTCCAGAGAACTAATTTTCTAGTCAGAAGGATGGCTTATCCATTTTGCCCTATGACCATTGTGAACTTCTTTATAAACTAGCCATTGCACAGAGTGAGCAAGACTTTGTTTTTCTTGATTGTTTCACTTTCAGGGTTCACAAAAGATTCTCAGAAAATACATGTTACACGTTAATGACATGACACTTAGCTTTTCAGCTTGAACATTTCACCTTAGGAAGAGGGCCAACCCCACAACACACACTGCCTGGCATGCATGAAGAAGTCCTAGATGGGTTGCACTGCCCCTTGAGTTTCCGACGCTTGAGTTTCCTAACTTCTGTCCTACAAGAGATACTGCTGCCAGTGCCCCTCAGCCTCTGATAGCTGATGTCCTTTACTCTTATGGTTGCATTTTAAAAGTATTTTTCATATATTGAGATAAAAAAAACATAGTGAAAGAGACAGATCTCATTTCATGTACAATCTACTATGTCCTCTTCAAAAAGAAAAATTTAAACCGGGAAGATTCAAAAGAAGAAAAGATGAAAAAGTACATCAGTACAGTGGAAAGAAGCTATACATATAAGCAAAAAGGGGGAAACTTCCTGAGAATTGAAATCAATTTGAACTCAGGAAGACTTTAACTGTCTCTTCATATGTACCTAAAGACTATTTTACAACATGAAGGTTTGAAGCATCTCTGCTCACTTTTTTCTGTTGCTTTCTCTAGCATGAAACATTTTTTAGAAGAAAAAAGTAAAGCTGATCAAAATTTGAGAAAACCTAAAGAAAAAATAGTAAAAAGAGAAGCCGAAATTGAGGTGAGAGCTGGTCTGATGAATCTGGTTTGACTTTTGTGTGTGAGGTGTGTGTAATGGGCTAAAAAATTCTTATATGGATTTTCCAGATTGGTTAATATTTTCCTCAATATGAACAGTTTTTCTGGAGAAACTTACAGCTATCATGAGTTATTATTTTATGCTGTGACATTATGGTTTAGCTTTATTTGCAGAAAATTAGTCATATTAGAAAAATAATTACAGGGGCCGGGGAAATGGCTCAGTGGAATAAG